TGAAAAATGTAAAAGACAAACCTGAAAGGAGAAGTTCAAGGCGCTTACAATCTCACTGTGGTGACCGGAAGGCCAACATAACCAACGGTAACTCAGTCCCATGGAAGATGGAAACGACATCACAATGAAGAGAGAGAAGCTAACTCCTGCCAGGAAGGTCTGGGAAGTTTCTTAGGACAAGAAGAACTTTAGTTTGGCCTTACACACTGGGAGGGTTTTGTAAGTGGCTACAGAATGGGGAAGGAGCTCCTAGTTGAAAGGGGCGCCTTGGGAGAGGGGAGCATTTAGGCCATTTGCTCTGACGACTGCAGGCGGAGCAGCATTCTCTGCTGCAGGGCGAGTCACCACGTGCTTAGGAGAATGCGTGAGGTTCCCCAGTCTTCCCCTCTCACCACACAACTGGCTCAGAGTTTTCATCATGGTGATCCTTTTGGGTCATAGTGACTTAATGAAGAAGTTTTTTGACTTCATAGTATTTATAATTATATTCTTGTGGGAGATACAAAGATGCAAGAGGTATTTTCTGTATGTAAAGAGCTTAAAATTCATTCAGAGATACTCATACGAATCTTAACAGTCCAAGGGTCATGTGAGTGTGTAGATGGGTTTTTACAGCACATTAGAGCAGGACACAGGCCGAGGTGGGTGGGAGGGCAGCGCAGGGCTGGGGAGATTTGCTCTTGGCTGGAAGAAAGATGGGACCAGGAAATGGGGTGAGGGAGAAGCAGAGCATTCTGGGAAGGAATGCAAATGGTGTATTTGTGCAGGGGAGTTTGACTTAAATATCGGGTATGTGCAGGGAATACATTTGGAAAGGAAAATCTGGGCCAGATTATGCATGTTCTTGAATGCCTGGCTAGCAATTTTGGCAACTCCATTGTAAGAAGTCACTGGTGGTTACTGAGGAAAGAATAAAGCAAGAACATGGCCACGTAGAGCTAGAGGGGATACCTGCAGTCGCTGCATCACCCCCCTCATCTATGAAGAGGTTAAATTATTTTGCCGACACTATAGAGGACACTGGCAGAATCTGCTTTAGAATGCAGGTTTCAATAAAACAAGAACATAAAAATTATATTACGAATATAAATCTGGTTGATATTCTCTCTCATAAAGCTCTTTCACAACACAAATATGTTAATCTAAGTAGCAGAATGCAATAAGCCATTAGCCCAGTTTAATTTATTTCATTAGCTAGTTAGTCACCTTGTAAGTTTCTACCACTGGGCAATTAAGTGAGAAAGTGGGTAAAGTCTCTCAGAAAATAAGATGCTCTTCGGGGGGGATCAGCTATTCATGACCCTAATCAGATGTCTCATGATTTGGAGGAATCGGTAGGGAGCCCTGGACACTCAGAAATAATTAGGAAATTCAAAACAGGAGGTGCAGCAGAACAACAAAGACAATTTTGTCTTGTGTGTGGTGTGACAAGATGGCTGTGGGGTTAACCAGACTGGATTCTAATCTCTGCTTTATCATTTACCTTAGCAATTGACACATTAGCCGACTTCTTTCAACCGTTACTGAGGTTTTCTGTCAGTAAACTGGGAATACTTATGCCTTCCACAGTGTCACCTAGTGTGGCAGACAGAGTAAGCTGGCTCCTGTGATCCCTGCTCTGAAGTCTGTGCCGTCAGTCAGCTTGGGCTGCTTTAACAAAATACCACAGTCTGGGTGGCTTACGCAGCAGGCATCAGTCTCTCACAGTTCTGGAGGCTGGAAGTCCAAGATCAAGGTGATGGCAGGTTCAGCTCCTGGGAGGGACCCTCATCCTGGCTTGCAGATGGCTGTGTCCTCACATGGCAGGGGGAGAGGAGCTTGGTTTCTGTCTTCATCCTCTTATAAGGCCACTAATCTCATCATGGGGGTCCCACCCTCATGACCTCATCCAAGCCTAATTGCCTCTCCAAGGCTCCACCTCCAAATACTATCACCCTGGGGGTCAGGGCTTCCACATGTACATTTTAGGGGGATGCAAGCTCTCAGTCCATAACAACTAGTGACTTGTTTCTAAGGGATGCAGTAAGGTGTGGGATGTACCTGATCCAAGTATGTGATCATGCGATCATGTCCTGTAAGACAGCTTCTCTCTCTCTGGTACTGAGGAAGCATATGCTATTTTGGGGAGCTCCACATGGTGAGGAAACATGGGTGGCCTTCAGCCACAGTCAGCAAAAACTGAAGCCCCCAGTCCTACAGTAGCGAGGAACTGAATTGTCCCCAAACCCAAGGGAGCTTGCAAGTGGTTACCTTCCCAGATGAGCCTCAGATGAGATTGCAACCTTTTGGGACCCCATGCAGGGCACCCACCAAAGCCATCCTGGATCCCTAACCTGCAGACACTGTAAGAAAATAAGTGTGGCTGTTTTAATTTGCCAAGGTTGTGAGCATCTCATTCCAAAGCAATAGATAACTAGTGCACCTAGTATAGTGCTGAACCCAAAATGATTGCCAAGTGTCAGCTTTCCCTCCTTCCTCCGTTACATTTATTTCTTAATGTGGTTTTTGCCTAGACCATTCTTTAAAGTGTGGTCTATCACAGCACACCTGAGGAATGTGCCCAACTGGGCCTGTTTTCTTTGCTAGTTCTTTTCTCTTTGTCAGTGACATGGTATTGATTCAACCATATAAGCAGATGGCAACACCAAAGTGTTCGTGAAAAACCAACTCGACCTACAAAAATCTACATTAGTCCCACATATATAAATGTATGTGTTCTTTCTTTCTCCAGAAACCATTTTAGCTTTTATTTGCTATCTCTAAGGTCGCTGCTTTCTCACTGCTGAATCTCCCTGCCCCAGTGAACATGCAATCTACATAAACACCACAGTGCAGAGGCCATTTGTCAGCCATGGTCTGTGTTCTCCTTGTGAGGTGAAGAGCTACTGCTGGGGGTGGAGCTCAGCCAGGGACTGGAAGCCCTGGCACAGCCCCTGCCCCTCCATGTTCAGTGGGGCCATGTGATTGCATTCAAGCAATGGGATGCGGGTGGAATGACTGGTTTTTGCCTGCTGATTTTTCGATGTGATCTATTATGTCCTATTTCCCTCTAATACCAGAAGTGGGTACTCGGAGGCCGTTAAGGGATGATGGGGATGGAAATAGCCTGAGCCTGGGTCTCTAAATCATTTGAATATGCCTACAACCAGTCTGCCCTTCAAATACTTGATCAGAATTAGAATGAAAAATAAAATTTCAGTTGTGCTGAGGTACTGAGTTCCAGGGCTTATTTACTATAGAAGTTGCTAGGGTTTCTACCTTAGGGCATCCACAGCAAATTATGAGGGACTAGGGGCCTTACACCACAAACGTTTACTTCTCACGGTTCTGGAGGCTGGAAAGTCCAAGCTCAAGGCAAATCTGGTGTCTGGTGAGCACGTCCTCTCTGGCTCATAGGTGTTTGTCTTCCCTCTGTGTCTTCACATGGCAGAGAGCAGAAAGAGCAAGTTCTCTGCCTCTTTTTATGAAGGCACTAATCCCATTCAGGGGGCCCCACCCTCATGTCCTCATCACCTCCGAAAGGGCCCGTCTGCTAATGCCATCGCCTTGGGGTTAGGATGTCAGCATTTGGATTTCAGAAGGCCATGCCTAAGGCCCTCCAGTGTGGAGAAACTTGCCCCAGCCACCAGGTTTGGACCAGACTGGTCCCTGCACATGAACCCTCTCAGGCTGGTGTGATCTAGCTTCCTTCCCTGTCGGCCATCTACACCCCTTTGCCCCCTTTCTCCCCATCCACTGTTGCCCCATTCTGTCCAGGCAGGACACCCGGGATCACGCCGTCGGAACCCTGTCTGGCCCTAAATATCAGAGCAGCTTAGAACCTGCGCTGCTGTGAAACAGAATGGAGTGCGCTCTGCCCCTCTGGCCACCACACTGGACAGTCAGGTCCCCACTTCTGACTGACCCTGCAACTATGTCATTGCTTAGCTTCCTCTTTTTCTCTGCATTCCCAACTACCCTGCTGCTGTGGGGCCACTGTCCCTGAGGCTGTGCTTGTTAGCTCGGGCTGCTTTATGACAAATATGTGACCTGGCCTTAAAGGACCTTAGTTAGTTAACTGAGACACACATCTTGTTTTGTAATTGTGCTACTTGGTTGTATACGTGTCAAGGTTTTAAAAGAAGTCACCACTACTCCACTGATTAAGAGGAAAGCCGTTAGGAGGCAGCCCCTTTCCAGCGAGGACTTAAATGACATTGATGCCAAGCCCTTCAAGGTTCTGAACGACCCGAGTTAGTGCATGGCTCCCATTTCCCTTACCCTATTTCAGCCCGTACCTGCAGGTTGCATCTAATTTACTTTCTTTTTAAAGTTTTCAATGATGCCCGGTCAATAATATAAATTATACATAAATATAAAATATAAAAATACAAATCGCTTTACAAAATCTCTGCCATCCATCTCTAGATTTTGTATGCAGACTGAAAACAAAAAGCGTATTGTTTTTTAAACAATAAATAAAATAAATAATAATTAATTTATTTATTTATACATAAAACCATAGAACCATAGAAAATATCTTTTATCTTGGTGAACTTGTGTTTACTTAAAATAAGTCATGAGTCCTAATCTTATCGAATAAATTATAAGACGAATGGAAACCACCCATTGGTCTGTTCACCCATCTATTCTTCCACTAACACATTCAAGTGTTTGAACTAGGAACTGTCAGGTTACAGGATCAATAAGATCAAGTCTTATATTTACAGAATTCAGAGTCCATTTACTCTCTTTTCTCCATTTTGAATGAGAAACTTACTTTGTTTCATCACTTTATACATCGAAGGCAGACCTTTGGCAGTGATCCTAAGAGCTCCTTTTCTGTTCTGTAGGGTGACTACAAATGGGGGCCTCTCTCAGACCCTCAATCTTCATCAAGTTTTTTTGAATAGTGTTTCTTCTTGAAAGAGAGGACTACATGGAAAGGGCCGTGCTCTCGTCCCGCAGGTCAGTAGTAAGATGTCCCCGGTGCCATTTCACTTTTTCTTGATTCCTGTTAGGGGCTCCAGGAGAGATGGCACCCAGCTGCGTGCGTCGGCAGTGATTTCCCTCGGCGGTGGCCACCGGAGCAGACTTGGTGACCTTCCTGCTGGTGGTGATTCTCACTGGCAGCGACTGTCCACAGCACGTGCTGGAGGGAAGCTCCGGGGCTGCTGTGCTCGGTGACAGCAGCCGCTCTCCATCTTCCAGTTGCTTCTGCTGGAGTGGCAAACCACCCGTGGGGTTTCGGGCAACTGTTTCTGTGGGTGGCTTTGGGAAAAATCCTTACTCCCCGTTAGTTCCAGTGACTCTTGCCTCTGGGAAAGGACCAGCCAGCGGCGGTTCTCAGAACGGGCAGTGCTGTGTCTTCTGGAGACCCGTTTGAGGAACCTTCAAAGTAACGCAGTGGTGCCAACGCGTCCAGCCGCCCCCTTAGACCCTCTCGGTGCGCTCACTCCTGTTACGCCCAGAACGAACTCTGATACTCGCTGAGGAGCACAAGAAGCGCACAGCTGTTCTTTCCTTCCGAGTGTCTTGATCCAGGTAAATGGGAAAATTTCCAGTTCTTTTCACTCATGTATTTAACATTTTTCTTGAGTGTCTATTCTAATAACTATTGGGGCAGCAGCTAGCATATAACTGTTGGGGCTATAAGTGTTCATATATCCACATATTATACTAAAATATTAATATCCACACAAATACATATTATAACTTGTAAATGGAATACAGTGAAAAGGAAACGCAGGGTGTCATGAGAGAAGGGGCTGATGGGAACGGGGTGGAGTAAGGCCGTCCTGAGGAGGGACATTCAGGCTCAGATCTGACATCCTGTCTCAGATTGAACACGAGGGGTATCTTTATTGGGGAGCGGGACCAGTGCCAGAGGGCCAGGCTCGTGGGGCCGCGGACACCAGACATAGGCCACAAGCACTGAGATGACTTAAAGCTCTTCTAAGAGAAGAAGCCGAATGACTGCTGGACAGACCAATCCAATCCAAGGAAGTCCAGTCCCAAAAGGACACTTGGCCCAATATATAAGTTTGGGTGCCACCTTTAATGTTCACGATTATATATAAATGTGGTGTCACCTTTGTGTTCATGATAATTAAAGCCACTAGACATTGCCTAGGTGAGCGGCCACTTGACAGAGGGTCTCCCAGACTGAGACTTGAGTAGCTCCCATCCTTTAAGGCGGGTAGGGGAAGGAAGCTGGGAAAGGCGGACCCCCAGTCCTAAACCCCCCAACCATGCATCTCCAGGGGAGCTGAGTGGTTCCCCCGTGCTTTGTACATTTGGAAATTGATTTACATAGATATCTTTACATCCCTAAAAAAAGCCAGTGAATATGAAAATATATTTGTGTGAGTATCAAGTTAATGTCCATATTCTTCATTAGACTGAAAACTCAGTGAAGGAGAAGTCACCTCGATAGACTGGAAGCTCAGAGAGTAGCAAGTTCCTGATACTTAGGAGAGTGCCCGCCCGTAAGGGATCTCAGGAAGTGTCTGCCGCGTCAGCCCGCCCCTCACCACCTCTGGGAGAAACCCAGCAATTTAAACAGTTGAAGTAGGATTTATTGCCTCAGCAAAGGGAAGTATTTAGAATAGAATAATCATTACAGATACGCTGATACACAGCCATGCCCACAAACACACCTACGTCAAGCAAGTTCATCTTCCTTTCACAAAAAATTTGAAAACGCACATTTTTCTCATTTGTTTCTCTTACTGTGTCCACCTGGGCTAGGAGAAACATTAAAATGTGAGTTTTCATTTTTACAGAGCTCTCTAATGGAAGAGAATGTATTGTTAGAGCCAGAGAGGGAAAAGAAAGGAAAAACATATATTTGAGGCCACAATAGTTGGTAAGAATTCAAATAAGTGCAATAGATTTATCTCAAATACATTCCTCAAGGGAGATGCAACATCACGTTCACCCTCAAAATGGCAAACCTCTGAAATAAAGCTGGTCCAAATCTGCCGTAGGTCAGCAGCTGCTTTAAAGCTAAAGGCAAAAGAAAATGTGACCCCTTCGTTATGGCCCCCCATGCCGACGAGTATACAGATGACTGTGACTTGTATTTGTGGAAATTGTTTCAGTGTGTAGTTATCAGAAACCTAAGCCAGGAGCAAAATGAAGAGAAAGAGAGCGAGAAACGAAGGAAGGAAGAGAGGGAGGAAAGGAAATTCAATAGACTGTTCAACAAAAACTCACCTCATCCCACTGAGGTGATGGTTATATGAACAATATATGACCTCTCTGTAGTTGGAACTCTGTCTGGGATGGGATTGGCCACAAATATTAAGATTCAAAATTTCCTCTTCACCAACTATTGAGTCCCCTAGATTGTATGACATGATTATAGGCAAATACATTCTGCAACATCGATCTGTGAATTAGCAACGATGGCAGTAATTTGAACTCCTTCTTTATAAATGAAGGGCCCATTACGGAGGTCCACTCTCGCTTCCAGCCTAGCAATTTCACATGATAACTGTCATTAAAACAACAGACTGAAATCCACTGTATAAGATAGACTCAGTTTTATTTTCCATACATCCAAAAAAAAAAAATCCATTACTGTTATTGTTGAGTAATACTATTCTGGGGTTAAATTGACATTTGTCCTAATTGTTTTATTGGCTTCATAGTTTGAACATTTCTCCTGGAAATTATTCAAAAAGGCATATGACTATATTCTGTCTCTATTCACAGAAGACTGATAATAAGCTGATTATGTTCCTAATGCCTGTTTGTAAGTCAGTTATTTAGAACTGAAAATGTATTTTTCCACGGAATAATAACATTATAAGATTCAATGTTGTTGAAATAGCACTATTTTACTTTCTGAAGTTGACGTCCCTTTCAAGTTTTGAAGTTTGTGTTACATAAGCTTCTAGTAGTTGGCCTGAGAAAACATTGACTATTTACAATACTTTTTTTCTCTAGGAAAATGATTTCCAAATTCCAACCCAAAATATGAGAACATATGCTCTTCCTTCCTGGGAAGGATTGGCCCTGGGGGCTGGGGCTCAGTTGGGAGGGATGCTGGATGAGTCTGAGCATTTATGACTGATGACCCTCTCGAATGTGCACAGAGGAAAAATGCCCCCGGGGAAGTCACTGTCCAGGTGTTCTGTTTGGGGGACTGGGATGTGTTTTCACTCACTGACACTAGGGACTTTCCACTTAGTCTTTGGGGCCCGCAGCCTCTTGGGCAGCTGCCAGTGGTCCCCCACATCCCCACCTTCCTGCTGTGGTGTGATGCCCTCCCCTGTGTGACACCTGGATTTAGTCACTGAGTTACTGATAGAATGTGGCAGAGATAATGAAATGTCCCTTCTGAGATTGGGTGACAAAAAGCCGGTGGCTCCTTTCTTGGGTGGCCTGCCTCTCTGGCTGCTTCTGAGGAGCTGCCATATTGTCAGACAACAAAAGTGAAGAAACAGCATTTTCTTCTCCTTTTTTAGGGTACTTAGGAGTAAATCTGTAACTGTGTCAAATATTACATTAAAAAGAAAGCAAAACCCATGTTAACTAAACTGACTGTGATGGTCATTTTGCAATATTTGCAAATATTGAATAATTATGTGGTCCACTTGAAACTAATATAATGTTACACAAGTACATCCCAACTTTTAAAACAAAATTTTATTTTAAATAAATTACTTACAAAATTATAAAAGACATACTATTCAGTGTGAAATACTAATTACTCACAATCTCACCTTCCAAAGATAATTCTTTTTAACACTTTGGAATATTTCTTTCTGATCTCTTTTTTCTCTTTTTTTTGATTAAACTAGTTGAGAAGTCATACAAAAGATAATTTGAGATGATTTTTAAAGAATTTCTTAAAAATTCTTTCCACTTTCCATGGAAAGCATTTTTCCATATTATTTTAAACTCTTAGGAGACATTTTAAAAAAGATGCATTCTATTCCATCATTTGACTATGTCAGAATTTATTTATATTTTCCTATTTGTGGACACTTAAATTATTCCAAAATTTTTACTGCCATAAACATACTTGTTTACAAATCTTTGTGAACATTTTTCATTAGGATATAACTCGTACTGCTGAGCCAAAGAATATGAGCGCTTTGAAAACGTTTAGTTAAAATTTTCAAGTTACTTTCAAGAAGGATAGAAACATGACACAAATTTATATTCCTAGGGGTAATGTATGAACTTGTCTGCTTCCCTTGTACTGGAAATTCACATGAAAACAAACCCTTTGCTAATTTGAGGGTCCAGAAAAACCTCATTGTTTGCATAAATCATTCTGTAACAGTTCACAGGTTCCCTTCAGTCCACAGAAGGTCTCTATTAATGAGGTTTTGTTGTAACTACAAATAGTAAGTGGCAATGAAGAGATATTAAGGTAAAAGCTAAATTATTACTCACTAAGTTATTATAGCTTAGTGATTTTTAGGCAGAACTATGTCACTACTAACAATGCTGCTATTCAAAGCCAGCACCGGGAGGGTTACTGTCCTCATATGTGGAACCCACTTCCCCCCCACACCCTCCCACCCAAGGTCCAACGTATTTCTAAGTGTGGTTGGGGGGCTGTGTGCATGAGAATACACACAAAATGTTCCTGGAATCCACTTGAGATCTTACTGGATTAATATCTCTGGGGACCAGGAAATCTGATTTTTGTTCTAAAACAATTGATTCTTATGTGCATGTGAATAAGGTAAATTAAAAAAAATTTGACCTTTGCTTCAAATTTTACTGTCTATGATGAGGACACGTTTTTGTTTTGTTTTGCTCCCCAGAGGTTAATGAGTCTCTGGTGAATGGAATTGTGAACGGACAGTGAAGGGCTGTCTATGAAGCGCTTGCCATAAATGACCTGCCATAGCTGGAGAGAGGACATTGCCTCATTTGGCATCTTCTTAATTTAAATAGCACTTGGTAAGTCACCTTCTCATTTAAAAGAATGTTAATTTGAGTACTCCGACAGGCACACTGTCACCACTTTGCCTGACAAAGACACACCTCATTGGAGACATTTTAAGGGAGCTGGTGTAGGATAACCTAGGAAAAATTTAAATTTTCCTTGAATCGCTCCCAGAACTTGCTAGGTCACTAAGACCCGATGCAGAGGCTGAAAAGCACATTCGCTTTGGAAGAAGGGTTGAGTCTGCGCCCCAGCTCTGCCCCTGTATAGGTGCCTGAGCAATGGCCGAGTGTCTTGGAGACTCAGTTTCCCCTGTTGAGACAGTGATGTTGGCAGCTTTCCCAAACCTCACAAGGTTGTGAAGGTGAAGCAAGATCATCCAGGCGAGTATGACCTGAGTCTCAGCTGTTGAAACGCTGAGCTGCTGCTTTTCCGTCTTCCCACTTTGGATACTGTGACTTTTCCTGGCCCAAACTCTTACCGTGGGGGGCTTGAGGTGCCCAGTATGAGCAAACAGACACTTTACTTTGTAGAATGCAAGCCATCCCTTGCCCTTCCTGTCTTCCAAATTCAGGCTACCAGCCACTCTTTGTGAATGGCTGCTGCACTGCATCCTGAGGAGTTACTTGAGGGAGACGTATCGTTTCTTTTGTGAGTCAAATTTAGGGGTGATCGTGGGCCAAGGGCCTCAGTGACTTCTGAGAAATTCAGTGTGTCTTCAAAGAGCAAATAATGACATCATAGTATTACACGTGTAAAACTGGGATTTCCTATAAATTACTGCAGCCCCTAAGAGTAGAATCAAATATGTCCTGCAGTTCATTCATAGCATTTGGGCTCAGCACTGGAAGGTACGATCTTCAGGGGCTCTAAAAGAATACAGGGGAATGGATCTTTTCTAGGTTTATGAAAGAAAATCCCAAATCACGGCTATAGCAGCACTAATGAACGGAAGGTCAGAGGTTGTTCGCCATGTTTTGGGAAGTTTGGTGTCTAAGGTTGTACAAGTAAAAATGACGGATCCTAAGGATTCACCCCAGTTTCAGTTAATGTAGTTCATAGTTCACAGATTAAGCTTAATTTAGATAAATCTGAATAAATTAACTTAGATAATTGGTTTTCGAGACAGAAATACTAGATTCAAGAATGTCTCTACAGCTTGTGAACTCTGACTTTGTAAAACATATAATCGCTGTGAACATCTATTTTAATTGGTAAAATGAGAATGACCAAGCCTGGCCTAACTCACAGAGATGTTCTGACAGCGATTTGAAGCAATAAACTGCCTACATCCGTGCCAGCATGTGATGGGGGCTCTCGAAGGTAGACATTATTTATCATCTAAAAGTGCTTCTAATATGTAATTCCACTGCAGATATTAATGACGCTATGACACGGGTCACGACACTAGAGAATTAGAGCAATGGTATAAGGTACGGGTTAAGCGACTACACTTGGGAGCTGTACTTCCTGGAAGTCACTCAGGAGCTGTGCGACCTTGAGCAAGACACTTGACTGTCTAGAATTCCCTATGCTGATAGGTTGACAAGGATTAATAACAGCGTCCCTTGTAGGGTTAGTGTAAGGGTTAAATGAGCTGATACATATAAGACAAGACCATTGACACTGTTCTGGTCCTGGGGAAACCTTAGATGGATCTTTGCTACTGTGATTATCATTGCCCGTCTATTTATGTGGCAGTTTCTCTCACAGCACATACCTGAGGGCCACACGTTGATGCAAGGAAGCTAGGGCCGCGGTTCATTTAAAAATTCATTCAGGAGATGCTGCTGCTTGGGCTCTCCAGGAAGCCGATTCTGGCAGCATGTTTTTATAGGAATTAACTCCTAAGGAAGGGAGGCGAAAGACGCAGGACTGAGAGGAAACAGAACGGGGTGCACGCGTGCCTGAAGGACAGCTGGCCCCCCAGAGAGCCTGGTGTTGTGCTGCAATACCATGACTTATTATAAGAAATATGTGTTTGCTCTTTGTCCTGCCCTGGCTCACAGTCCCCAAACCCTTAGAACTTCCTAAGTGTGGGGAGTGATGAAAATGTCTTTTGTTATGTTAATTAAGTGACCTTTGGAAAGCTCAAGGATGTGGGCTGGTTGCCCAGGGGGTCAACCACAGGATCGAGGGTAGGAACTTCCAGTCTGACCCCTGACCTCTGAGGAGGCAGGAGAGGCTAGAGAGTGAATCAGTTGCCGGTGACCAACAGGGCATGAATGGATCATATCTAAGGAAAGCAGCCCAGCAAAAACCAAAAGCACTGGTTCAGGAGAGCCTTGGCTGGTGAGAGCCTGGTGACTGGGGGAGACAGGCGCCCTGGAGAGCGGAGGGTGTCTCGGGGCCCTTCCCCATCCCTTGTCCTCTGACCTCTTCTATCTGGCTGTACCTGAGTTGCATCCTTTTGCAATAAACTGGAGGCCTAGTAAGTAACCTGTTTCTCTGAGTTCTGTGAGCCACTCTGGCTACTTAATCAGCCCTGAGGAGTGGGGTTGTGGGAAACTCTAATTTACAGAAAGTTGGTCAGAAACACAGGTAACAGCCTGGGCTTGGGACTGGCTTCTGAAGTGGAGAGGAGGGGGTCGTCTGTGGGACTGAGCCCTCACCGGGTGGCATCTGATGGAGGCAGTGTCAGAAGTGAGTTGAATTCTTACACAGACTCCCTCCTGGTGGCTGAGAATTGCTTGTTGGAGGTTTGTAACCCTTCCTCCCCTGCCCTCCCCACACAGATTGGAAACCAAATCTCAGTCACCCATTTATGGGCATAGACAGTCATGCCTTTCATCAGTCATTGAAGGTGGCTGCTCTGAGCAGGGGAAACCCTCCTATGGCAGGTCCTTCCTTGAAGGGGCATCTGGTCAGCATGTATCTATTTATTTGCCAGGCATTGAGACAGTTACATTTGTACTATTTTAAAACACTTGTATTTCTCTGTGGTCTGCAATTTGTGAAGTGGTATTTTTTGCATGTATTGATCTATTCAACAGACTCTGAGCTGCCTGAAGGCAGGTGCTGTGTTGTAATTCATCTTCACTTCCCAAGAACCTACAATTGTATCAGTGCGTGGTAGCTGCTCAAAAACATCACTGCATGAATAAATGATTTTGCGGGTCAACAGTGAAAGATGTAAAGAAGGAGGCAGAGGAAGGACATGCAGACCATAGAGAACAACGACTCATGGTCGCTTCCCTCACAGGCGAAGCAGGCACGCTGCTCAGCACCCAGGGAAGGGGGCACATAAATGCTTGCAAGCTTGGTGCCTGCGAATAAGGGCTTAAAGTGGATTCACTTGATGTTAAATCCATCCAACTAAGCTCAAAGAAGCATTTGAACTCAGTATTTAGAGACTTTCCATATGATGACCGCTTGATTAAGAATAAAACTATGCTTTAAAATTGTCAATAAAGATGCTGGGATAAAATACATCATTCATCATATTGTCATAGCTACAGAAATGGGCACAATGCAGACAACAATGAGAAATACTTGCTCTGATGCTCTTAGATTTATTTTACAGGCTGTCTGTACAGCTTACTTACAGAGGATATGTTTATGTTTAGTGCTGAGAATATTATAAAACCTGAGAGTATTTTGAAGTGTTTGCCTTGATTCTGGCACTTGAGTGAGGCCTAGACTTATGAGGGGTAAGACGGCTAGTCTTCAGAAATTTGACCATCAATATGTGAATGTGTTTAAAATCTGCTTGAAAATTGCCAAAGATCCTCACTCAAGGGTCTTCTGCTACATGTCAAGAAATCATCTTTTTTATTTTTTTAAGTGTAATTTTTCTCTGCTGAGAAGTTTGAAATATTCTGATGGTTAGATAATTCTCTCTTTGCCTCAAATTCAACATTTCCAAATAGGTTGTTGTATTTTCAGGACTAGGTAAGCATGCTAAACTTCCATTTGGCACATCAGTCTTGCCTCCAGTAAGGCAGGAGGTCTCTCAGCTCTGCAGGCTAGGAATACCTTTGATAATGATGAAAATCTACCAGACCACAGCATCTTCAAAAAAAATTTTTTTGAAAGTATCTGAAATAGTTTTTAGAAAATATTTTGTAAGATCTCAGGTATTCAACACACATGCACATTTTACTATCTCCATTTCTCTATGTTCCTATGACTATTCAATAGCTCGAAGTTTAATCAAGAAAATTAGAACATAATTGCATAAGGTCCTTAGGTCAATGGTTATCAGACACTACAGGCATAATGCCTTAGGATTCTATACTGTCCCTAGCGTAACATAAATTTAATATTGTCTGATTAGAGTAACAACATGGGTTAGTCTGACTCTTCACTATTTATTTATATCATCCATGAAATATATCAGGTGTAATAATTATGGCCGTGACTGAACTCCACCTGGTATGTCTCAGCTCAGACCTGGATTTTTCCCCAGAAGGTATGTATTTGCAGATTTTCCACCCCAGTGCATTTATGCCTTTTTATCAAAGCAAACAATAAACTTTCATCTGCAATATTTTCCTTGTTAAGAACTCTCTGGCCATTTTAACAATCTGCAGTAACCATCTCCAAGTGAAAAAGCCAGTTGGCCTTTTTATAGCATGTGTAACGAGACAAACTCTAAATTAGGTAAGTTTTCCACCACTTATTAAAGGATTCTCTAGTTGCATGATCTAATTTGACATTCTTTCCCCCTCCCCCATTGATTTATTCCCTGTAGTGATGGGTTAAGTTGATTACTATAAATTTCTCTAAATAAAAAACCTAACGACTACTTTTTATTATAAGTAGGTTGGCAAAAAGTTTTTTTCAAAAGCATAAATAGGCTTCTAGTGGAGTCTTTGGAGGCTGTAGGAGTTACTTACATCCCTCAGAGCAAAGCGCTGTGACTGGTGCGGAGTGAGACCTGAGGAAAAGGAGCAGTTGTGTCCGATGTTTGTAATTGAAACTGCTTCACTTCTTAGGAAATCACACTGTTAAACTTATATTTTACTCTCCTTATAAACCAAGGACCTTGGTTGCAAACAAAAGAAACCTCTCCGGCTACCTGGGACAGGGAAGGGGTTTTGTTGGAAGGCTCTCGGGGGGCTCACAGGATTGTCCAGGTGTGGGGGCCCCGCGAGAAACGAGAGCGCAGGTGCGGCCAAACCCCAGTTCCCCGGGGGCACAGTCTGCACGGAGCAGGGGTGTGGTCACAGCCCCGTGGCCTGGACTCGTCCCACATTCAAAGTTCCTGACGGACTTCGACGGGATGCTGAGTACAGCACGGGTGGTGGGAGGAGAGGGGCAGGACGCAGGGCCGGCCGCCCGGGCCCCCGCTCCGCTGCCTGGAGATTTCCAGACGCAGCAAGAGTGTTTCACACACTGACACACGCATGCTAGACCGCGTTCCTGTTCTGGAACTTTCCAACCTTTCAATAGTAGATACAGAATAATGAAAACGGACAAGGCACGGAGATACATTAACCCTGCACCCACTTCTGGTGTCAACACTGGTCCTTGGGATCCATTTAGAACTGCGGTATTGAGAGTGTTGATAAGGAGAATGACTCCAGAGCACGAACGTGCTCGATGTTTCTTGTTGTGTTGAATCAGTAAACCCCATGGAGATAGTTTTCAATCAGCGCATTTCCCTCCTTTATGTTTCTCTGGGTGTCCTTGATCCAGCAATTTTCTGCTTGAAATTACCTTTATTGTAGGGAGTGGGATTAGAACAGAAGAGGAGCTGAATTTCACACTGAGTAGATGTTGTTCCTTTTCATTGGCAGTGTGGGCAAAAACATTGCCCCTGAGTTGAAAATGTGGGGTTTTCCCCCTCTTTTCCTCTAATCTTTTATAGATTTGCTACCCGACAGATATTTATGAAATGCCATCTTCTATATATGGAGAAATATCCACTGAGGTTTTCAAAAAATTTTCTTTTCCATCCAGTGACCCTTGCTTTTGTATTGATTCATTTGCTTTTCCTCCTCCATAATTTTTTTCACTTCAGTGTTTTCATTAAATTGTATAAATATGACAGCAGCTACAGATGATCTAAGTCCCAAGTGACACGGAGAAAGCTCCGATCTATGAGCTGCTGTGTGTATCCAGGCTCTTAGTTTGCCATCAGGGGGACGTGAAGGGGATAAAATCTGATTCTGGACTGTAAGTATTTTGATATTTAAAGGAAATTGAAGCAGTTCTTCATAACAAACTGTTGGCAAAAACTACAGCTGGCGAGATAGGACCACCTAACTCAGCGACCCCATAAATCCTGCGTGAGGACGATGAGGACAGACCCCTGGTGAGAATCTTGTGCATTCGCCATTGCACATGTGCCCTAGAAAACAGCTATTGTAAGATTTTATATTCTTCGTATGGAAATCAAATGTGCTTTGAGGCTTTTTTTCCCTGCTTTGATAATTGGCAAAAGACTTTTTCACAAGGGTAACTTTCCCTAAGTAAAACAATCAAGGAGCATGATTTGATAATTGATGCACAGGGAGGCGCTTTAATGAATTATTGACGCACTGGGCTCAGGTGTGTCACCTGGGGACAGAATATGGGATGAATGCTCAGCAATTAGACTATCAATGCTCCTTAGCCGGTTGACCACAATTAAAATAATTTTATTCTTGGTTTGATATTAGGAATTAAAACTCACACCTCACCTACCTGGCAAAAGGGTTTCCAGGTTAATGGCAGGAGACACGAGCTTGTTGAAATGCCAGCCTGCGTTCTTCCTCTGAATACAGAATTCCTCAATCATTCATGTCTGATTAAAGTTGTATTTGACTAATTGATAATGACTTTTCAATTAGGTAAAAGCATATTTTATTTAAAAAGTACATTTATTCACATTGATTTTTCTCCTCTTCAGGATGTCTGGGCTTCTGTATTCGATTTGATCCGACTGCCCTGACTTGGAGGAAGCCTTTGCAAGGGTGGCCGACTGTCATTCCCCAGCCCCAGGCTGACATAACCGGGCTCTGGAGTCACAGGGTTATTTCTGGAGAATATGTAGGAAAGTCCCCGAGTCTCCACAAAGATTTCCATGGAGGAGTTTAACTGGGGCTGAACAAGGAAAATGAAAACCAGCAGCTTATAGATACTCTCTTTCCTGGTTGTGGTCACAAGATTTCTCCACGTGAGGGAAAACACTCATTTTGACGATTTATCATCCACCCGTCTTCACAGAAGTGGGCCAGACTGAGATGCTGGGGCAGCCGCCTGCCTCCGCCTGGCAGGAACTGGCATAGAGGCCCTCTCCAGAGCAGTGGGCGCGAGGAGGGAGATGGGGCTGTTCCTTTCATTGGTCCTGCCAGCAAGGAGCAGCCGCCCCACCTGCCAAGAGCTCGTCATCAAGCAGGAGCTGACTCTCCGCCAGCCCTGCTGAGCTCTGGGGGAGCGAGGGGGCCCAGCTGACCCTTTGGAGCCTGGGGTTCCCTCGGGAATGAGGCGATTTCTGCGGAAGTCCTGGAAGCTATTTTTGGAATGGCAATCACATATCCATGGAGACGTGTGCATGCCGGGGGTCACGGTCAGCTCCACCTATCTTACCTCTGACTTATTTCCTGACTTTGTCTTATTTCTCTATTTCCAGAGCCACAGTCACAATGTTTCCTCTCACTGTTTACACTGTATTCTCCCTGATCAATCTGAGTGCATTCTGTTCCTTTAGACTCCAGCTATTCTGGACTTTGTTACCCCATCATCAGAGTTATTCTCCGTCAGACGCAGATAGGATCACATAGTCTGCTGCTCAGAAACCTCCTGTGGTTTTATTAAAAGAGTAAAATCCAAATTTTTCAGATCAGCTTTAAACATGCCATATGTGGACTCCACACTATATTTTTGGTTTTAACCCTGATGGTAACTCCCCCTGAAGCTGACACTCCAATCAAACCTGGTCTTTCACCTTTGCCTGGACCAATCTCCACAGCTCTATCATGGTGCTGCCTACAACTGGGATGGCTTCCTCTTTGTCTTCCACCTTTTCAAAAAGTGCTCCTTCAAGGTTCACACCTCCCCCACTGGGGTTTCCACGCCAGGCTATGGGAAGTGGTTTTGTGAGTCATGAGCACTTCTCTCACCGGCTCCCTCTGCTCTGCATCTGTCTAGGACAAAGACAAAGCCTTTTGCTCTGCAGGTGATGAGGAAATGTAGCACGGGCTGCAGGAAGGCGGTGGATGCAGCCCGGAACCTTCTGCCAACTCTGCTTTCCACTGCTTGCATCCATTATCCCTCCCTGCCCCTTGGTGACATCTCCAGCTGGTCCTGGTCTTCAGGTGTAGGGGAGTTCAGCCCCAAGAATGGTTTCTTCTTCAGGGTTCAAACCTGAAGAAGGGTTTCAAATCTCATTCAATCAGAAATAAAAACTTTAACTCTTCATACCACTGAGAGCTCCTCCCTCACACTCAGCCCCGTCTCACTGGTGGGTCTGGAACATGCTGCAAAGAGGCAGAGAGCTCTTTTATTTCCATTGTCCTGTTTCACCTTCTCTCCTCACTTGGCTTCAGCTCCTCCAGGGCTGGAAGGAGGGTGCAGAGGAAAGGGGCCAATGGCCATTTTACTTGCTGGTGGTGTTTGGGGTTCTCTCCAGGTTTGGGTTTCCTCTGGTGTAGAGGGGGCCCAGATGCTGGCCTTCTCCCTGAGGGTTTGCATGCACATGTGTGTGTGTGTGAAGGGTGTACCTGCTAGGACAAGGGTGCTCTTCTGACACTACAGAATCATTGTCTGGCCACTGATCTCCTGGGACCACCTCCCATACCTCTGGCCTTAGACATGATCCCTGCCTTTTTCTTTCCTTGGCAGGCAGCTTTCTTGGGCAGAGGGCTTACAAGAAATCACAAGCCTGAACAGGTGACTAAAGATGGTGGCGTGAGAGGTGAGACAGAGGCCACCTCCCAAAACCACATATAATATGAAAATAGAGTTATTACAACTAATCCTGAAAGAGCAACAGGAAAGAAGGCTGTGCCAGACTGCACACACCTGGAGAACAGAGCAGACCTCACAGAACAGGATAATGTACCAGAGCCATGATACGGTGGGACCCAAGCCCCTCCCCCACCCCAGCTCACTGGTGGGAGGAAGAGAAATGGAGCAGGAAGGGGTGGAGGCCTGGGACTGCTGGACACCCAGTCCTGGATATCTGCTCTGGGAGCATGAGCCTACATTGCCTGGTGCTCTGGAGATTAGTGCGGCTGGAAAGCTAAGACAGGCGGAACACTTAGAGAGACTGAGATTCCAGCCACTTGTGGAAATGGATCCACATCTGGCTGCTCTAGTACAAAAGAAAGGTGGGCAGTCTGAGAGACTTCCTAACAACAAGAGGGGTGCTAAATAGCCAAGGATTACATAGAGCTTGCTGCTCAGGAGAAAGGGCAGGTGGCCAAAATTGGGCGCACTCTGACCAGCAGGGTGGGAACTTTCAGGAGCTTCAGGCGCTCCATCCCCCTGGCTGGCTACGCAGCTCCGAGGCCCCTCACTGTGATACATAGCCTGCTGTGCCTTTCTCCTGGCCAGCATGGGCTCACAAACTGGCAGCCCCTGCACTGGCATAAGGCCAGTCAAAGGGAAGCTCCACCTATGGCAGCTATCAACACAAAGCATAGAGGCTTACACCTGTGCACTCAGTCCACCACTTCTGGCAGTGGAGACAGGCACAGCAGCTGGGAAGCAGGAAACAGCTCTTTCTTCCCCCCAAGGTACCATGCAGCTCCCCTGCGACTCCTGCCATCACTCCAGGGGCTGAGCAGCTCCAGTACAGTTTCTGGGCACTAGAGGGCACCACATACAAATATGAAATGTCAAAGGAACCTGGTTCAACCCCAAATCCCACAAACATCAGAAAAAGGGCCTAGTGAAACTAAACTCATCAATCTTCCTGAAAGAGATTTCAAAATAAAAATCATAAACATGCTCATGGAGGAGCAGGAAAATGTTCTAGAACTCAGGGTAGAATTTGGGACTGAGATTCAATCATTAAGGAATATAATATCTGAAATGAAACATACAATGGAGGAATTTAAAAGCAGATTAGATGTATTAGAGGACACAGTAAATGGAATAGAAATTAGAGAAGAGGAATACAAAGAAGCTGAGGCACAGAGAGAAAAAGGGATTTCTAGGAATGAAAGAATATTGAGAGAACTGTGTGACCAATCCAAACAACAATATTTGCATTATGGGGGTACCAGAAGAAGAGGAGAGAGAGAAAGGGATAGAAAGTGTCTTTGAGGAGGTAATTGCTGAAAACTTCCCCAATCTGGGGAAGGAGATAGTCTCTCAGGCCATGGAGGTGCACATATCTCCCAACACAAGGGACCCAGGAAGACAACACCAAGATATATAATAACTAAAATGGCAAAGATCAGAGATAAGGACAGACTATTAAAAGCAGCCAGAGAGAGAAATAAGATCACATACAAAGGAAAACCCATCAGGCTATCATCAGACTTCTCAGCAGAAA